GTCCAGGAATGGGATTCTTAATGATGAAGCAACACCACAAATAGATGGCCATTAAAAGGTGTAGTTCTGCCCTGGCCAATATGACTCAGTTGTATGAGTGTTGTCCCATGCACCAGAAGTTGCCACAGTTGGTTTCCTGGTCAGGGCACATGCCTAGGTTGCAGGCTTGATCCCCAGTAAGGGGTATGCAAAGGCAGCCGACTGATGTTGTTTTCACGTGGATATTTCTCTCTTACCCTCTCTCTTCCTCTCTTTCTAAAAATCCATTTAAAATATTTTTTAAAAAGGTGTAGTTCTAGGGTAATGTGTCTCATTAGTATGGACTTCTATATGAGCAGTCTCTTCAATTAAGTAGCCATAATCTCCTTTTCACTGATAAATGAATGTTATTCAAGGTCAATTAACTGTTCTAACATTTCTTCTATATTGTCTGTGGAGATTTTTTTTGCATTTGTGTTACATCTTATCACTATTAGCCTCTTGCTTATTTGGCTTAATACCATTTTAGCAATTTTTCTACCCTGCAAAGAATGTACAACAGATATATAACCTATAATATTCAGTTTGTTTGTGTGTTTTAAAAAAATATAAATTAGCTCTAACTCAGCGCTTCTACAACCATGGTGAGCATAAAAGTCATCTGAAGAATTTGTTAAAACATAGATTCATGGGATATACCCACAGAGTCTGATCCAATAGGTCTGGAGTTGGGTCTGGGAATTTGCATTTCCAACAAGCTTCCAGGTGAAGTTGATGCTGCTTGTCCACTGATTATATTACTTTGAATAGCAAGGCTGACTTATTTAGACTTTTATCCAATAAACTTCCAATGTAAGTAATGAGACTATATATATCTGTTGCAAGTATAGACTAAAATAAAAAATAAACATTTAGCCTGAGCCGGTTTGGGTCAGTGGATAGAGTTTTGGCCCTCTGACTGAAGGGTCCCAGCTTCAATTCCAGTCAAGGGCACATACCTGAATTACAGGCCCAATCCTGGCCCCATGTCAGGACGTGTGCAGGAGACAACCGATTGAATGCCTCACTCACATTGATGTTTCTCTCTCTCTGTCTCTCCCTCCTTCTTCCACTCTCTAAAAAATCAATGGAAAAATATTCTCACGTGAGTATTAACAATAAATAAATAAATAAATAAACATTTATATTTTTTCTTCATTGGGAGTAAAATTTCTTGGTCACAAGTTCAGAAGGAGAGTGTGTAGAATAGTGGTCCAAGAAAAATCCTATATAATAAAAGCCTAGTATGCTAAGTGTCTGGTTGTCCGTTCAACCAATCAAAGCATAATGTGCTAATGACATGCTAAGGCCGCTCAACGGCTCGCTATGACATGCACTGACCACCAGGGGGCAGACAGTCGACTGGTCGACCAGTTGCTATGATGTACACTGACCACCAGGAGACAGATGCTCCGACCAGTAGGTTAGCTTGCTGCTGGGGTCTAGTGGATAGGGACTGAGTGAGACGGGCTGGACATCCCCTGGAGCCCTCCCATGGTCCCACCCCGGCTGGCCAACCTCCCGCGTCTCTCCCTGGCCCTGATCGTGCACCAGTGGGGGTCCCTTGGCCTGGCCTGTGCCCTCTCACAATCCAGGACCCGTCAGGGGATGTTGGAAAGCTGGTTTCAGCCCAAACTCACAGGCCAGACAGAGGGACCCCACTGGTGCACGAATTCATGCACCGGGCCTCTAGTTTAATTATAGTTTTCTTTCATTCCAGCTTGTGTGCAATGAGCTCATGTCATTGGTAAAGATTATTGAGCCAGTTAGGAAATATCTCTGATTATACATGTGTTTTTTGTTTATATATTAAAAATAAGTTGTAAACAACTTTGAAACATCTTCAATGTTGACTTTTTCTAACTTTCAACCTGTGCTTAGAGTCCTTAAAATCTTGTTTGTGCATCAATCATTGCTAATTTTTAAAATAAAAGAATACAGGCCAGAACAGAGCTGTTTCAGCAGCACTCTATACATGTTTGGGACTAAGGTTTTCATTAAAAATTATCTTTAAGATCTGGCAGACGTGGGAGCTTTGGGGTCCTGGTGAACAGAACAGACTTTTGGCCAGGCAGACGGCCTCTAGGTGGCTCGGCGCGAGCACCTCTATGCACAGGAGATCTCTCCAGGACCAGGAGAAGCTGGAGGAGAACCATGTGCTGCACCTGCAGCTGGCCATCTGGAGGCCTCCAGAGGAGCCCTGAACTCCCTCTGCAGACAGTTCCAAAGGAGGCTGCCCTGAGAGCAGTCAGCTTCAACCTAGGGGTGGGCCCCTCCTGGAAACACCTGGAAAACCCAGCCAGAGCAGCAGGGCCTCCAGGCTACAGCTCACTCAGCTAAGAACGCCCTGGGTGCCATGTTCCAGAGAATCCAGGAGTCCTGCCAAAGTGGCACCAAGTGGCTGGTGGAAACCCCAAAGCCCAGAGTGGGAAGAGAGACACAGGGCAGTAGCGCCCCCCAGCTCACAGCCTGAGCCAGAGGAGCACCTGGCTTTCTGGAACGGGCCCTTCCCACTCAACTCCGGGCCCCTGGGAGTGGGAGCTGCACTGCAGCTCCACCCACTGTGGAGGTCCAGGAGGGAGGCCGCCTTCTGGACCCACTCCTCCTTTACAGAGCCCTTCTGCTCCCCCAGTGAATTCGACAGTGAACAAGAGCCTGTGGGGTCAGGAATCCAGCGCCTCCAGAAGCTGTCCCAGGAGCTGGAGGAGGCCATTACAGCTGAAGAGAGCCGTGATATGACTGTTTCTCCTTCGAGACTGAGGACAGTGCCCTTCAGGTAACGCCCTCCTCCTGAGCATCTTTCCTTCCAAGCATCTTCCCCAGCATCCTCCTCCTCCTCCTACATGAGCACGTGTGCGTATTTGGAGGCACATTAAAGAACCGGGTCTCCTGGAGGAACCCACAGAGCTGACGCCCAGCAGAGTGGGAAGAGTGAGGTCTTCCTACCAGCTTGGACCGGAACTGCTGACCTCACTGACTCACCACCTTCCAGCAACTCGTCCTGGGGGAAAGCTTGGTGTCCTCACTCCCCCTGTGTGCAGCACGGTGAGGGGCAAGAAGAGAGCTTTGTCTTGCAGGAAGTGAGCCATACCTGACCCCCACGCCCCCACATGTGGGATCCCTGCCTCCCCTCTAGTTCCAGAGGAAGCCCCCAGGAGTTGGCAGTGCCCACGGGCCACTGCTAACAAGGACCTGACTAAGAGAGGCCCAGGCAGAGGCTGGTTAGGGGCCTCTGCTCTCCTGAGCCCGGCAGAGACAACCTGCCACAGCCCCGGGGGTGACCCCTTACAGACCCGGCTCCTGGGTGCACAGCTCCTGTGCCTGCTCCAAAAGAAGGAATGGGAGAGATATCCAGGCTCTGAGACCTGGGGCCCACGGGTGCCTATTGATGTTCTCAGCACCAGGCACTGTGGTTAGCAGGGAAGAGTAGCTGGCAGGGAGGAGTAGCAGCACTGCTCAGCAATTTCTGCCCTTTGTAAATTATTTAAAAATTCTGCTTTGTCATTTTATTAGAAAGAAATCAGGGTCTAACTTCCCTCCATGACGTTGTTTTTCCATAATAAAGACTTTCTGACAGACTGACAAATCTCAGAGGGAAGGCTGGAGGATGGGAGGGATTAACCACAGAATTTATATGCATATATGTATAGCCCTTAGACACAGACAATAGTGTGGTGAGGTCTGAGGGGAGGCAGGGGTAGGGTGGAGGAAAAAGGGGACATCTGTAATATTTTCAACAATAATCTTTAAGCCCTGGGTGGGTGGCTCAGTTGGTTGGAGTGTCATCCTATGTATCAAAAGGTTGTGGGTTCGATTCCTAGTCACCTCTATCTGTATCTTTTACCTTTTCTAAAATGAGCATGGATTTTGGGGGGACAATAAGAAGATACAACATAAAGTTATTTTTAATAAAAAATGCTTTGAAAACTCCATGTATTACCTCATATCAGAAAAATACTTAGAGTCCATGGTAGCTAGTATTTTATTATAGCTTCCCAAAGGCTTATTTTCATTTTAAAAAAAATATATATATATATTTCAGAGAGGAAGGGAGAGAGAGAGAGCAACAGCAATGATGAGAGAGAATCATTGAATGGCTGTGTCCTGCACGCCCCACCCTGGGAATCGAGCCCACAACCCAGGCATGTGCCGACTGGGAATTGAACTGTGACCTCCTGGTTCATTGGTCAATGTCAACCATTGAAATACAGGCAGGGCCCAGGGGCTTATATTCATTTTTCTTTGTGGTGAAACCTCCATAGTTAACAGGGAGTATGTGAGCTTGAAAGCCCGAGAGTCACTTTGGCTGCCTATCTTTTAACAGGACCTTGGAAAAACCACAAACTCTCATATCTGTAAAGAGATTTGCAGCTCCATCTTAGCCATCATTTCATGAATCTTCCAATGGTCCTAGGAGACTGATAGGTCATTGACAATGATCCCCGTTTTATAGGTTTTGAACCTGAGGTTTGGAAAGGTGAAGTACCTTTATCATATGGATGGACAGATTTAGAAGTTACCTTAAAGATGATCTCATCCTATGTTCCCAGGATTCTGTAAATAGTAAGTAGGGAAAAACTTTGGACTGGACCCAGGTGCTCACTCTCATGACAGCAATCAAAATGAGAATCCCTCAGTCTAAGACAGTGGTTCTCAACCTTCTGGCCCTTTAAATACAGTTCCTCATGTTGTGACCCAACCATAAAATTATTTTCGTTGCTACTTCCTAACTGTAATGTTGCTACTGTTATGAATCGTAATGTAAATATCTGATATGAAGGATGGTCTTAGGCGACCCCTGTGAAAGGGTCGTTCAACCGCCAAAGGGGTCGCGACCCACAGGTTGAGAACCGCTGGTCTAAGAGGTCAAAGGAAGATGAATGGCTTCTCTTCTTCAGGAGACTGCAGCCCAAGCCCTTGACAGGGCCATGACTGGGTTGGCATAGTGGGGGTGCTGAAGCCTGTGATCTATCTACGCTTACCTTTGGCAGCAGTCAGCATGGTGGAGGCCAGTTCACACTGCTGTGATTCCAAGTGTCCAAGTGTGAACCAACGAGGATAACGGCTGGGCACCATAGACACCATATGCTGAGGGTGGGAAGTGTCCCCAGTAGAAGTTGAGTTTTCTAGAACAGGTAACCTAGAAGAACCAGAAAGAGTCATTAGCCACCATCCAGACCCTTGCCATTTTGAGCCATCTTTTAAATGTTTATCTTTGTAGTGAAGTAAATGAGCAGGAAAGGGTTAACTGAGAACTTTGAAGATTTAAAAATCTAGGGTACTGTACTCTATATGAGGTGAATGCCTAGACACTTGTAGAACTCAAGCTGAATAGTCACTTGAATGGATCTGAAAGGCAGTTCAAAAGCCATAAGATTTTTTAATCCTCACTAGAGGATATTTTTCCATTGATTTTTAGAGAGAGTGAAAAGGGAAAGACAGAGAAAAATATCAATGTGAGAGAAACACATTGATTGGTTGCCTCCTGCATGTACCTCGGTTGCAGGGCCCGGGCTGGGGAGGAGCCTGCAAACGAGGTATGTGCCCTTGACCAGAATTGAACCTGGGACATTTCGGTCCATAGGCCGACGCTCTATCCACTGAGCCAAACCAGCTAGGGCCATAAGATTATTTTTAAAAGTATAAGAAATATATGCCAAGGAATCCTCAGCAGTTCTTTTCTGGTTGAGGTGAGAAGCTCTCTCAACCTTATGGTCTAAAATTCTTTTGTATGGTCTGCTGCATCCTTGAGGTCCACCTGCCTGAACCAAGGATCCTATTCTAGTTTGGGAACAAGATGCTCATAGCTCACTGTTCTCAAGTTTAGTTTTAGAAAACCATTTCTACCTCCCTAGGTGCATCTGGTGACCTATTCCTGGGAACCATGAATCAGCTGAGCTATGGAAAGGCTCAAACCCCTTCTCAGCCTGCTTAAATGGCCCCAGAACTGGAAGACTCAGGCCGTGGGTGCTCCAGATCTATTAAAAACTCAGGGGCTTCCTCAGAGGACCCACCAAGAGTAGAGCCAGGGACCAAGTGGGTCACTAGCAAAACATCTCAGATAGGAATTCTTGATCATATGAAAATATCTAAGCCATTTTAGGGCAGGCTTGGTGGTAGGTCCAATAGAATAGATACAAAAGGGAAGTGATAAAAGTGAGATAAACAAAGAAAAAGAGCACCGAAGACTTCTACTTTGTTGGAGACAATTGGGCTAGGAAACATTTACCCACCTCATGGCACGTAAGGCTAATTTATAGGACAGGTCTGGATCATGAGGCAGGAGAGCTGAGAACAAATACTTGGCAAAGGTATGCATGGGAACACTCTCTCGGTGAATGACTTCTCCCAGACCACTGAAGGGGCCTCCTGCAGGAAGAAGATAAGCCAGCCAATTACTTACCTGTATGCTTCTATTTGCCAGCCTAGACTTGAACCCTAGGATCCCACACATGTTTGCTAGCCATGGGAACCTTCAGTATACTTTAATGCCAAAAATGTTTCTGTACCTGTGCTCTATAATAGAGGAGCTCCCACAGTCAAAGGTAAAAGACAATAGCCTCTTTTCTCCTTACCTTCTAGCAGTAAGAGGCACTGTTTCTGTAGGGTTTGCACCAGTTCATCGTCCAGCTGAAGCTCCTGGAGTCGACTCAGGAGCTGTTCCTCATTGCGGCACACCTTGTCCTGTGCGTAGAGGCCTTCAGGCATCACCCTCTGTTGACCCAGCCCCATCAGAGCAACTTCCAAGGCCAATGACAAGTAAGACTCACTGCTGCTTGGGCAGCCTGCTGCCATGGGTACATGCTGGTACACAGGGGGTCTGCTTTCATTCACATCTGAGGGCAACAGGTCACCAGATTCCTTAGGTCAGGCCCTGTGGATTCATCTGCTCCTCTCTCCCTCCCACTTTGGAATACAGCTTGGTCAGCAGCTGTCACAGGGAAGCTGAGTCAGAACCCCATGGGAGTAGGAAAAATATACCGAAAAAAAGTTACACAGAGCCACAAAGATTCCTAGCTTCTTCCTAATATATGACTGGCTGGGCCAGTTGGGGAAATATAAAAACCTTATACTGCCCTAGCTGGTTTGGCTCAGTGGATGGAGCGTCGGCCTGCGGACCAAAGGATCCCAGGTTAAATTCCAGTCAAGGGCACATGCCCAGGGTTGTGGGCTCGATCCCCAGTGGGGGGTGTGTAGGAGGCAGCTGATTGACGATTCTCTCTCATCATTGATGTTTCTATCTCTCTCTCCCTCTCTCTTCCTCTCTGAAATCAATAAAAATATATTTTAAAAAAATCTTATACTAATCTTTTGCTAGTCATTATAATACCGTAATTAACTGTTTTTCTATCTTTCACTAGAGTGTGAGTATCTTAAAGGAAAGCGACTTTATCTCATTGCCCTAGGTCAGGGGTCCTCAAACTTTTTAAACAGGGGGCCAGTTCACTGTCCCTCAGACCTTTGGAGGGCCGGACTATAGATTAAAAAAAAACTATGAACAAATTCCTATGCACACTGCACATATCTTATTTTGAAGTAAAAAAACAAAACGGGAACAAATACAATATTTGTATTTGCATGTGGCCCGCGGGCCGTAGTTTGAGGACCCCTGCCCTAGGTATTTCCAGGGTCTGGTGTATAGGAGGAGCTAAGTGTATGTCAGTAGTGAATAAACCCCAAGTGCAACCTCAGGCTTTGCAGATGCAAGTGTCACTGTGCAGATGAAACAGACCAAAGATGACAATTCCCTTTTAAGGGATGAGAGGGAAGATAAGGGCAGCCCTAGCTTAGATTGGGGCCACCCCTTGTATCTCTAACCAGAGAAATCCAAATCCACCCGGCTAAACTATTACTTTTATAACACTTATAACTTCTATGTTATTATTACTTTATATATTCCACCTTTGGATTCAAAGTTTCAGAAACTTTGAAAAGTTTAAAAGTTAGAGTTTGGTTTCTTTCCTTTTCTCTTTCATTTACCTGGTAAGTATTTATGAATGACTATTAAATGGGAGGTCTTACACTAAGTGCTGGGATCATAAAGATAAGTCAGTCATAGTTTCTGCTTTCAAGGAGCTGACAGCCTAGTAAGAGATACTCACTTGTAAACAAATTGTAATGCAGTGTGTTAAATACTATAATAGATGCATGTATACAATATAGTGATGGCATAAACGAGAGAAGAATCAATTTTGTCTGTAGTCCTTGCTACTTTGAGACTAATGAATAACGTCCCTTCTATTTTTTATTTGTAAAACTGGTATAAAACTAACATAATTAGGAAGAAAGTTCAAAGGAAACAGGAGAATATTACACAATTGCAAGGGACACACACATTCTTGATGGAAGTTCTTTCCTACTTCCAGACTGTTCTGAGGACTTGGCCTTTGACTGCTGAAATCTCTCTACCTCTTATTTCCCTTGGATCACACTCTTTAGATATTCAGGGAAGTGAGAGGAGCAAAGGAAGGTGGCAAGGTAAACTGTGAGAGAAGGACAGGGCTAGTCCACAGGGTACAAAAGGAAGGTGGAAAAGAGAGGAAGCCTAAGGAAACCTCTCAGGGAAGGTGGATAAGAGAGAAAAAAGGCTGCAGGAAGGTTAGAACACATCTGGCAGGATGAAGAGGGCTACCCATACCTGACACTTCCAGATAGCTATCATCATTCAGGCGGCAGGCCTCAGTTAAAGTAAGAAATAGGCAGCCAATGGGATCCAGGGGGTGGCCCACCCAGCCTTCCAGGTTTGTGATGGCTGTGGTTCCTCTCTGCAACAGTTCTGGAAAGAAGCAGGGCAGAGTTTTAGAGAATGATAGAGATACACTGCTCTCTGTCCCTGCCTGGGCCTCCTCATCAGTTTCTTTCAGGGCTTGGCCCTGAGACTCAGAGAAAGCTTCCCTCATTGTCTTGCTTTGGGTTGATAGGACAGGTCACAAGCTTATCAGCCAGCAGCAAAGACCTATGGTCTGCATTTAGGCTCCCTGTTGGCAGTTCACATATGTAGATACAGCTTTACGGTTTTAAAAGGGTCTTATATCAGATCTTAGTGGGCCTTCCAACTGCCTTCTGAGGGAGGCATGCTGGCATTATTATTCCCATTTTACAAAGATTCAGAGTAAAGTGAGACATTCCACATAGCATATAGCATGACCTGGAATCCCCTAGCCTCTGCCAAACGATGAAACTTCATAAACATTAAGACCTACAACTTGTAGCCACTGAGGATCCTCTTCAGCCTTAGCCTAAGGAGTTAGGATGGCTCCTAATAGCCTTAGAGTTAGAATGGCTCCTAATCACTGTACCTTTCTTCTGATGCTTGTAGATTTCCAACTGCCGTTGCTGCTGCAACCTCAAAGTATTGATAATGGCCACCGTGAGTCTGAGGGCCTCTTTTGGATAACCATGGGAGTGCAGGGCATCTACCCGAGCACAGGCTGTAGGCACATGTTCTACCAGATGAGAAGAAAATATTTTGGTTGTGTTAAATTTTCAAATTAGGAAAATTCATGCTTGAGAAAAGGAGTTCATGTTCTGTTCAGTTCCTCAAATTCAACCTGATATCTACCATGTACCAGGACCTATGTGTTATCTTTTAAGGATATAAAGTTGAATAAGTCACAGGCATTACCTTTAAAGAGCTACCCTGAAGTCTCAGGCTACTGTATAGAAAGGGACACACAACTAGGATAATAAAATATTGTACCTCTTTGTGAATATGTATTATCGGAATCCAGTGGAGGTAGCAACTAACTGACTAAAGGGAGAGGCCTCATTCATTTATTAATCCTACATTTCCTGAGAACCTATTATTTGCCAAATGAAAGTACAAAGACGAATAAGAAATAGCCACTTCCCTCAAAGAGCTAAAAAATGTTACATAAATAGATCATTATTAGACAGTTAAAAAGAAAAGACATGATAGGAATATATACAGATAGAAAATAATATTTGAGCTGCATTTTGTAGGACAAGATTTAAAATAGGTAGACAAACAGGGAAAGGCATTCCTGGCAAAGGGAACTTTATAAGCAAAGGCATATAAATAAAAGCATAAAAAGTATTCTATATAGAATCTTCACAGTATGACAAATAGTTCTGTGTAGAGTTAGGCTATGTGGCTAGAGATAGCCTGGAAAGGTAGAATCTGGAAAGGTAAAGAGCTTTGATGCCATTCTAAGGAGTTTGGATTTACCTTAGGGATAATGGAGGACTACCAAAGGCTTGTAAATGGGCAAGTGATCATAATGAGATTTATGGCTTATTTTGTGATTTCTTTTAAAGAAAACATTAAAATTTATAAAAATAATTGCAGAAAATTAGAAAACATAGATAAGCAAAATATAAAATAAACATTAGAGATAAGCATTACTTCCACTTTCATACATATATCCAGATTTTTCTATTCAATTTTAATTATAATGGGGTGATATAATTATTGTTTTGTAACTGGGTTTTTACACTACACACAATGTAAATATTTTTCCATGTCATTAAATGTACTTCTATAACACTAAAAGTGATTATATATCACTCCACTGAATATGTACTATTCACTGTGTCAATCAATTCCCTACTGTTGGATATAGATTGTTTCCAATTTTCTCATCTGTACATTATTTATAACCATGCTCCAACAGACCCCTAATTTTAGGCATATTTTTGGTAATTATAGCTCAGGATAAATTCCTAGATGCAGAATTCCTGGATCAAAGGGTATGAATGTGTTTTAAAGGCTTTTGATAAGTATTGTTGAAATACCCTTCAGAAAGGGTGTAACATTTATACTCCTACCAGTAATATCAGAGTACCTATCTCTATGCAACCTCTTTCAACCAAAACCCAATAATCTTTATTTTTAAAATCCTTGACCAGTTGACAATCCAAAAATGGTAATTCAATGTTGTTTTGATTTGCATCTTTATTAATGAGGTAATTCTTTTTTCACAAGCTTGTTAGATTTATGTAGAAGTGTTGAATCAGAGAAGAGGGAAGATAATCAGAGGGAACTTCAGCTAGTGACCCACAGTGAGTTTGGCCAAGGCTTTAGAGTGAAAGACAGGGACATATCCAGATTCAGCAAGATCTCGAGAAAGACAAAGATAATGGGCTGAGGGATAGAGGTAGGGAAATGGGAACAGATAATAAAAATGTAAATCATTAGTGTAAGACTCAGAAAATAAATCTATTTTAAAATAATTTCTCTTTTGTAATGGGCATCCTGTAATAAAGTCAAGAACAGAATGATAGAAGGCCAGAAGATGATTTAAATTGACAAAGGAACAGCTTTATTCTGTTACGATGAAGGAAAGGTGGGAAGGAAGAAGCTTAGAGACAAATGCAGATTGTGCCCTAGCTACTAGCACAGGGTAATTTAAATTTCAAATGTAGTGCCTTTTTAGCAAAACATAATTTCAGAATAGATTATAATCTTGCTCAGTAACTGTTGACTAAGGGAGCAATGAACTGATGTCTAATGGTTTTGGTAGTACTCTTTGAGATTTATTAACTCCTTTCCCCTCCCAAAATTTAGGATACAGAATATAAATTCCTCTATTTGAGGTTATTGTACCTCAGCTGAGTACATACGCCAAATGCTTAGGCTTCACATAAATGCTGAGGCCTGAATCAAGGCCCCAAAAGATATGCATGAAAATTGTCCCAATTATAGTTGTGTTGCTGGTACCGGTGCAGATGGCTCATTCAGGCCAAGAGGTGAGATTGGGCTCCAAAAGTCTTAAGAGTAGAAGAGAGATACACTTACCAAGCCACAGTGGCTGGCCTTGGGAATTAAAGAGTAGTCTCTCACTTTCCTGTTGACAGGCAGGAGCTATATATATATCGCTGCTAATTATTCGCTGTAGGTGGCTGTCTTGCCAATGCAATTCACGGCCCTCGATGGCTCTAGTAAACACTGTTCGTCTTGGTCTGGTTAAGGAGTCTGGGGAAAGAAAGAAATGCATGCAGCAGTTTAATGATGGATTATCTGAAGCTCTAACTCTTGTGTTCTTCAGGGTGGGAGGGTGGGCATGTGGTTAGTGAGAGCAGCCACTCTGCCATCTGTCTGGGTGTTTGTTGTGTTACCTGTTTATTGGATAGCTTTTAGTGTGTCTGTGCCCTCTATGGAAATATATTTTCTACAGAGATCTATGGCTGCCTTTCTACTTCTTACAGAAAACTAATTTCTCCTAGGACCCAGAGCCACATGAAAGAGCGAAGGAACAATGGTGTTCAGCTTCTCAATTATGAGAATACAAACTGCTTCTACAGAAGTCAGAGGAAGAGAGAAGTAGAAAGGTAATCTTTCTGGTCAATCTATATCCTATCTCATTTACAGCATGACCCTTATCAGACTGAGGACTTCCATGAAATTCATATTAAAAGCTGAAAGAAAGAGCTAAAGCCCTGTGTATTCTGGTATCTTTATCACACTGATAACTGCAGGCTTACAGCCTTGTTCTCCAATAAGAAAAACTGATACTGACAACAGTTGTTTTTCTCATTAGAGTCTTACCATGCCATCTCCCTTCCAGAAAAAAGCTGCAAGGAAACCAAAACAGCAGGCAAATTAGGCTCACTTCTTAAGAGTGGTGTGTATGAAGACCAAATGGATGATATACTGTTATAAACTGTAGATAGAGGAGGAGTCATGGGAATGACATTTTAAAAACTATAAAAAGGTGTAAAAGGTTATTTAACTGACTCTAGGCCAAATTAAGGGCGGTTGAAACTATTTTGAAATAAAGAACTGAATACTGTACAAATGTTTCCAGAAATGCCCAAATGAGGTGTGCATCTACTGAGTCTGTGCAAAAATATTGGGAAGAAAAGTCAGAAGATTCAGACTGAGCATGAAATAAATGAACATATTCATCCACTAAGCTAAAGTCCCTGGACATCTCTTCAGAATTTGATATATTCCACAGAGTATGGGCTCAGAGAATTAAATGAGAATAACACTGACAGTATTTACTGAAGCTGCTTCTCCTTCATGTTGTTCCTCAGTAGAAGTACAATGACCCCTCTATTGGCTGCAGTCTAAGCCCTTCTCTTGCTGAAGTGAGAATCCACTGTGAGTTTACTTATCCCACAGTGGGGATTAGGCTCCCAATATGTTCTGTAATTCATTAAGTTAGTAAATAATGAGTCCTTACTACATGGAAGATACTGTTCCAGGTGCTAAAAATATACAAAGTCCCTGCCTTCAGCAACCTTTACATTCAAATGGGGAGAGATAGTTAAATAAATATATATCAGATGGTTATAAATGCTATAGAAAAGATGAGAGCGGAGTTAGAAAGGCAAGCTGGTGTTAGGTGAGGGTAATTGTTTTATATAGAATAAGGCAACATTTGAACAGAGACCTGAAGGGACTGAAGGCAAGATATAATTAAGGGAAGAGCATTCCAGGCAAAAGGAAAAGCAAGTGCTGAGATCCTGAGGTGGGAAAATATCTGGAGTGTTTAAGAGTGACAAAGAGGCCAGTGTACTTGGAATGGAATGAGCAAGCAGGGAAATCATAGGAGATGAGGTCCGAGAGATACCAGGGAGCTAGATAATGAGGGCCTTGCAGGCCATGAGTGAAAATGACTTTGGCTTTCTGAGTATGAGAAGCCACTGGAGGACTTTGAGCTGTTGAAGGTATATGATGTGACTTCATTTTAATTTTGGGGGAAATATATTTTTTATTGATTTGAGAAAGAGAGAGAGAGAGAGAGAGATAAAAGATGAGAGACACACATCTATTGGTTGCCTCCTGCATGTGCCCCAACCAGGGCCAGGGATTGAGCCTGCAACTAAGGTATGTTCCCTTGACTGGAATTGAGCCTGCGACCCTTCAGTCCACAGGACAACGCTCTATCCACTAAGCCAAACCGGCTAGGGCTTGACTTGCATTTTAAAAGGCTAACTGGAAGCAATATTGAGAACAGACTATAAGGTAGAGGGTAGAAGCAGGAGGAGCAGTTAGGAGGCCACTGTAATAATTTGTGAAAGATGATGATAACTTGGCCAGAGTAATAAGCCAAGTATTGATAAGAGTGATGAGAATTGGCTATCAGAATTGTCAATGATGGGAGTGATGAGAGTATATGGATTTTGTATATATTCTGAAAGTAAAGGCAATAGCATTTGCTTATGGATTACATCTGGGGTAAGAGAAAAAGGGAAAAATCAAGAATAACTCCAAGGTTTTTAAGACAGACTTGACATATATAGAGACAAGGAAGACTGCAGGAAGAGAAGGTTTGGGTGGGGCTTGAGGGGTAAGAAATCCTACTGAGATGTCCATTAATATCTAAGTGGAGATACTGAAAGGTCATTGAACATACAAGCCTGGAGCTGAGAGAAAATCTCTAAGCAGGAGGCATAAATTTGGAAGTTGTTAGTATATAGATGATTATTAAAACAATGTAATGAAATAAGTATAGAAAGATAAGTGGTTTAATGACTGATCCCTGGGCACTCTAGCATTTTAGGTTGAAAAGTGGGGAAGAGACAGTAAAAAAGACTTAGGAGGAAGGGCCAATGAAGTAAGATGAGAACCAAGAGAGAATAGCAGTGTTTTGCTCTTTTAAAAAAAAATTAAATTTATTGTGGTGACATTTTTTTTAATTTTTATGTTTTAAATTAAATTTGTAGTGTTTTGGAAATAAGATGAAAAAGGTGTTTCAAGGAGAGAGAGGTGATAGCCCAAATAGAGTGAGTTTAAGGAAGAATAAGAGCAGAAGAGATAGAGATGGTACCAGAGAGGCATGTGGGGCCACAAGTATTTTTTGTTTTGTTTTGAGATGAGAGATAAAAACAATATGCTTGTATACTCTCAGGAATAATCCACAAAAATTTGTGATGCAGGAGAGCAAGGAAAGAATTCCAGAATGATGTCCTGGATAAAAGAGAAGAAACAGGATCTCTAGAATAAATGGAAGGCTTGGGCTTACATAAAAGAACAAACAAAAATAGTGGAAGAGCCACGGTAGATGGACATAGACTGAGGCAGATGTAGTAATGTAATTTTGGAAATTCTCTTCTGATTGCTTCTATATTCTCAGTGAATAGGAAGCAAGGCTTCAGCTAACATGAGGAAAGAGAGGAATATAAAAAGTTTTAGTGAAAAGATGGTGGAAAATAGTAATTTAGAAGAGTGAACTAGGGCATAAACTAGGGAAATGCAGTACATGTTTAGTCTACACACTACAGATCCACTTGAGATGAGTGGTCATAAACTTAAAAATTAAGACCAGTTACCATGGGTGTATTTCTCTCTACCATGTTCAGCTTTGCAGTTGTGAGCACCGAGTAATTAGAGAGTTAGACTAAACTACTAACATTAGGGATCTGTTATGTGAGTGTAACAAAGGGAAAGGGGGGAGGGAGGGTTGAGTATGTATGCAAGGGAATGATTATAATGATGCACCAAGGAATCTAACCTGGATAAGGAGGAAAATGAAGCTATCAAGAGAATGGAAAAAAACAGTAGGATAAAAATTCCTAGTGGGTCAAAGAACTACTGGAATTGGGATACTAAAGAAAATAAGGTAGTAAAAGCTGCTGGTGGTAATTAGAGCTGCTCTAAATTGAGATTAGGAAGAAAGTTTTTGGTAATGACAAGGTTTAGGAGAGGATCTTGGGATTCCATGGCTAAGTTATTTTGGAAGATGAGACTATTAAAAGAGAGGAGATCAAGGAGCTGAGAAGCTAGAATATTGGAAGGATCATCTATGTAGCTACTAAAATCATTAAGAATTATGATAGAAGTAGTGACAGAGAGTAGTGTTGTAAGCCAATAGCCAAAAATCTTTAGGGAATGAGGGGGAACTTGACCCAGAGGTCTACAAATAACCAAAACCAGAAGGGTAGCAGACAGTATATTTGATGGCATAAACTTTAAAGATGGGGATTATTTTAGGAAGGAGTGAAGGACGTTGGGGAAATGGCAATGAAGGATAAGCAGGATGCCTATTGTTCCATCAGGTCCAATGGCAAAGAGATGTGAGAGATAAATCAGCCTCAACATGAAAAGACTGCAGAGGAAGCAACATACTCAGATGAGAACCAGTAACAATAAATAACACCAATATACTATGACAAGGAAGAAAATGCCAGACTGGAGACATTTGTTTATATACATTTCACTCTCTCTATGCCAATCCAAAGCTAATACTAAAAAGATGGCTTCCTGTGTTGTGGAGGTTAGATAAGTAGCAGTAAAGGGTAGCATAAAGAAGTGGCGGGGGGGGGGGGGGGGAAACCAAGATGGCGGCATAGGTAAACACCGGAGATTGCTGCCTCGCACAACCACTTCAAAAATACAACTAAAAGATGGAATGGACATCATCCAGAACCACAGGAAGGCTGGCTGAGTGGAATTTCTACAACTAGAAGGAAAGAGAAAAGCATACCGAGACTCAGAGGAGGTGGGAAAGTAAAATACTAAGGTACAGAGGCGCACGCGGAGCGGGCTGGCGGCTGAGGGCGCGGTTGTCTTTTTCAATTGGGAGGGAGTCTCAGGCTCTGAGCTCCAGTTCCAGGTGAGTCTCTGGGGACCCAGACTCATACGGGAGAAGTGGGACTGTCTGGCATCGGTCGGAACTCGAGGGCAGCTTTCTCTCGGAGGTACTTGCAGCAATTGCTGGGACACTGAGAAGCGGGGCCTCTGAAGGCAGGACTGAGAGCAGCCATAACTGCTCGCTCCGCCCGCCCTGTTGATCCCCTGCGACCCGCCCCGCCCAAGCCTTGCACAAGGCGTTTGCTGGATAGTCTCAGGCAGAGGCTAGATTAGCACCTCCCTAGAGATCCAGGACAGAAGTTCTCCCACTGCAGAAGCATAAAAAATGCGAAGACAAAGAAACAGGACACAAATGACAGAAATGGAGGAAAGCAAACTGCTTGATATACAGTTCAAAATCACACTTTTAAGGTTTTTCAAGAACTGTCTAGAAGCCGCTGATAAATTTAGTAAGACCCTTGAAAAGATTGGTGAGCCCGCCGATAAATATAGTGAGATCCTCAAGAAATCTAGTGAGACCCTTGATGTTGTGATAAAGGACCAACTAGAAATTAAGCATACACTGACTGAAATAAAAAATATTATACAGACTCCCAACAGCAGACCAGAGGATCGCAAGAATCAAGTCAAAGATTTGAAATGCGAAGAAGCAAAAAACACCCAACGGAAAAGCAAAATGAAAAAAGACTCCAAAAATACGAAGATAGTGTAAGGAGCCTCTGGGACAGCTTCAAGCATACAAACATCTGAATTATAGGGGTGCCAGAAGAGGAGAGAGAGCAAGATATTGAAAACCTATTTGAAGAAATAATGACAGAAAACTCCCCCTACCTGGTGAAAGAAATAGACTTACAAGTCCAGGAAGCACAGAGAACCCCAAACAAAAGGAATCCAAAGAGGACCACACCAAGACACATCATAATTAAAATGCCAAGAGCAAAAGACAAAGAGAGAATCTTAAAAGCAGCAAGAGAAAGACAGTCAGTTACCTACAAGGGAGTACCCATACGACTGTCAGCTGATTTCTCAACAGAAACTTTGCAGGCCAGAAGGGAGTGGCAAGAAATATTCAAAGTGATGAATGCCAAGAACCTACAACCAAGATTACTTTACCCAGCAAAGCTATCATTCAGAATTGAAGATCAGATAAAGAGCTTCACAGATAAGGAAAAGCTAAAGGAGTTCATCACCACCAAACCAGTATTATATGAAATTCTGAAAGGTATCCTTTAAGAAGAGGAAGAAGAAGAAAAAGGTAAAGATACAAATTATGAACAACAAATGCACATCTATCAACAAGTGAATCTAAAAATCAAGTGAATAAATAATCTGATGAAGAGAATAAACTGGTGATTATAATAGAATCAGGGGCATAGAAAGGGAATGGACTGACTATTCTTCGGGGGTAAAGGGGTGTGGGGGATGTGGGAAGAGACTGGACAAAAATCGCGCACCTATGAATGAGGACAGTGGGTGGGGAATGAGGGCGGAGGGTGGGGTGGGAACTGGGTGGAGGGGAGTTATGGGGGGAAAAAAGAGGAACAAATGTAATAATCTGAACAATAAAGATTTAATAATAATAATAAAAAGAAGTGGCAAAATTGCAGGCTTTTCACCTCTCATTACTTTAGCTGCCTTAAATACACTGACAATCAATTATGGTATAGTTGATGAACACCAAGCAAGAACAATAATTTAAGTAATTTTCTCTTTGAGATTAAAAAATGTCAGTAGATTTATCATCTACAATAAAGGGGACCGCCCTACCTGGTTTGGCTCAGTAGATAGAGTGTTGGCCTGCGGACTGAAGGGTCCCAGGTTCGATTCCAGCCAAGGGCACATGCCCGGGTTGTGGGTTCGATCCCCAGTAGAGGGTGTGCCGGAGGCAGCCAATCAATGATTCTCTCTCATCATTGATGTTTCTATCTCTCTCTCCCTCTCCCTTCCTCTCTGAAATCAATAAAAATATATTTTAAAAAATTAAAATAAAATAAAGGGGACCACATATAAAATTAATGTCTTATCAAAATCTCCCACTAATAAAGGTTCTCAATGGGCAAAAGAGCAATCAGTTCCCACCATTAAATAGCCTGAGTCAGATAAACTAAAACTGATGCAAATGCTGATGCCCAGTGATATCAGTAGGCTATTGGGCTCAAAATGCAGAGGTTACAGTATCACTGTACTGCAAGCATGTCAAACTCAGGGCCGGCGGGCCACATGCCTTGTTTAAATAAATGAGGCATGTGGCCTGCCACGAGTTTGACATGCTTGCTGTACTGGATTTGTCTTAAAATGAGCAAGCACCCTAACAGTAACTTGGAAGCATGACCCTTCTAGCTATCTGCTGTATAAACATTTGAGGAAAACAGAGGAAAGTAAGAAAGGCAATTGTCATGACATTTAAAAAAAATTTTTTTTTATTGATTTCAGAGAGGAAGGGAGAGGAAGAGAGAGAGAGAAAAATCAATCATGAGCGAGAATCATTGACTGGCTGCCTCCTGCATGCCCCCTACTGGGGATCAAGTCTGCAACTGAGCATGTGCCCTTGACTAGACTCGAACCTGGGACCTTTCAGTCCACAGGCCAATGCTCTATCCACTGAGCCAAACCAGCTAGGGCTGTCATGACATTTTTTTAAAAGCTGTTTTCTGCAGGCATTACATCCTTCCATTGAGGTAGATCTTTTGAATTAAAATCAGTCCCAACTGAGGCGAGAGCCATTAGTCATGAAGAATTTGAAGGGTAAAGAAGATTCATGCAGAGGGCTCTAGGAATTTATGCTGGGCGCTATAAGGACACTCTAGATGTGGAAGAAGACAGCATCCCCAATATCAAAAGCTGACCTTTACTAAAGTTTTGCATTTCAAAACAAAAGGACTGTTTTTTCTTATTTAGGATGACAATTCTGATAGCCAATAGTTTTTCCAGCTACCTTTGTTCTACGGTTTTCCCCTCAACCTTTTGGAGTTACAGGCACAAAGACCTAAAAAGATATCTGCTCACCTGGGTTGTGACTGGCATTCTGGGGAAGTGCGTTGGTGATATTGGGCAGCTCATGCCCATAGTTCCCATCTTCCAGGGGACAGACATCCAAGTCGCTCCACTTCTGCAGTTGCTGTAGCCAAGAGGATTTTTCCTCCAGTTTGCAATGTGGATTTAAAATGATGCACACCCACAAGGCCCCTGGAGAAGAAAACAACCCACATTCTTCATATCTGTTCTTCGATGTATGTGTAAGCCTTACTCTTGTTCAGCTTATTCTTTTCTTCCATTTTGAAGTTTCCAAAACATCGGTGTTCCTCAATATAAAAAAATGAGATCTGCTAACATTTTCAGAACTGGCTTGTTTTTCCTTCCCAAAGCTTCCTTAAAGCAGAGTGACTATCTTGATATCTGGATATGTGCCTATGATAATGAACAAGACAGATTTGGGCTTGAATTCTTAGCTTGAATCTATAGTCCAACAAACATTTACTGAGAGCTTTCCATGTTCAAGGCTCTGTACTGGAGAATAAGATACTGTTCCTACCTTTGAGTAGCTGTCTAGTGGTGGAGATACATAAATAAACAGACTGCCATTTGAATATAGTAAGTGTCAAGATAAAGATATGTTCAGGGTACAAGAGCAGCACAAAAGAAGGGCATTTAGTGCAAGGACAGGGATCAAAAGGTAGGTGCTAAGAAAAGGTTTCAATTTTTGGTTAGCTGACCTTGGACTAAAATTCAAATCCCTCAACTGTAAAACAGATCATAAAACACCTACATTTACAGATATTGTGAGAATTAAATGAGATAACATTGGTAAAGGGCCTAGCATATTACTTGGCATATAGTAAAATTTCAGTATTTCATTTTTCCAGGGAAAATGGTTTATTTGGATTTGGATTATGATACTGGTGATAAACTGTGATGCCTTAAAACTATCACATTCTTGCATCTTCTCTGTCATTGTAGCTGAGCATCACATATTACAAATAACCAATGGTTACTGTTTCTTTGATCCTATTGCTCTTCTTTTTAAGCAAACCCACTTCTTCTCAAGGTTTGTGTGTAGCTAAGCCAGATATATTCTCAGTCTCAAGTTAGCAATAAACCTGACTGTAGAGTGGCTTCAGTGAAACATCCTTTGGGATGGAGCCACTACATCTATGGATGCAGGTACATTCAGACACTATTTCAAGGCCCCTCAAAGTCAAGTAAGAATGTTTTAAAAGGCCATTTTAGCTTCAATTTCAAATACCAGTATTAACTGAAGAAAATGAATATTCATTTCTATTAGCTCAATCAAATTTTTATAATCTACCATGAAAAAGATTTCCAACCTAGAATTTTACACCCAGAGTATCACTCAAAAGCAAAAGTGAGAGTCCAGTCAAGATGGCAGCATAGGTAAATATGGCATCATATCCTCCCACAACCACATCAAAATTAAAACTAAATTACAGAAAAACCATCATCAAGAACCACTGAAATCGAGCTGAACATAAGTCCTACAACTAAGGATATAAAGAAGCAGCCACATTGAGACAGGTAGGAAGGGTAGAGACACAGAATGGGCTGGTCCCACACCCACCTGTGGTTAAAAATTGGGAGTGATTATCTCAGCTGCAGAGGTCCCCCAGGAGGAACGAGGGGTCTCAGCCCCATACCAGGACCTCCAGCTCAGGGTTCCAGTGCCAGGAAGAGAAGCATCCAAAACTTCTGGCTGTGAAGACCAGCAAGGATTGTGGTTGAGTGAGAGTGAGAGTGAGGGCGGCTGAAGTCCCAGATGTTCTTCTTAAAGGCCCCATGTACAGACTTACTCAGATTCACTTCCTCTGAGCGCCAGTGCTGAGGCAGCAGCTTGAAAGTCTCCAGGCACATACGTGGAGGAACTGAATTGTCTGGCTCAGAGCGAGGGCTGAAGGGCCAGCTTTCTCCCAGAGAGAAGTGCTAGCAGAGGCCATTGTTCCTTTGCTGAGCCCTCACCTCATAAACTGGCAGGTGCCATATTGGAGTCTCCACTAACACTTTTCATCCTACCCTGGTGATTCCTTGAGACCCTGCCACAACCAACTTGCAGGCCCACCCAGGCCATTCCCAGGGGCTTTCCCTGCAGACTATTTTAGCTCATGCAGAGGACTTTCCTAAAAGTCTCTCAAAGGTTCACAAACCCCAGACAAGCAATACCTGGCTTAGTGTGCCCCATGCCTCTTGCTGAGTGGCCCCAGGCCTAGCACAAGTAATAGCTGGCTTTGGTATGCAGCTTAGCCTATCCTGGGCACCTCTAATCCCAGTTCAAGTAGCAGCCATCTGCAGATCACTCTGTAGTTTGTGCTGGTTGGCTCTGGGCAGGATGGCAGCTGGTCTTGGCTGGCACCTTCCAGAAGGCTCCAGAGCCAGCACACCTAGAGGCTAGCTTTAGACCTCACTGTAGCACCACACAACCACCACCACCAGAGACACACTTAAGGGGCAGACTCATTGGGCACCAGAGCTCTGAAGTAAGTTCTGCTCTGTGGGGTTGGCCCCTGCACAGCACCTCCTCCATTGTGGTGGCAGCTAGTCCCCACAGCCTATTAGCCTGGGGGTAAATCCCTCCTATTGACCTGCTAACAGCAATCAAGACTCAACTACAACAGGAGGGAGCACACAGCCCACGAAGGGTGTGGTGGCACACACGGAGCACCCAGATGCAGTGATCGGGAGGTTGTGCCACTGGGTCCTACAGGACACCTACTACATAAGGCCACTCTACCTAACCGGGAGATACAGCAGCTCTACCGAATACATAGAAACAAACACAGGGAGGCAGTCAAAATAAGGAGACAAAGAAACATGTCCCAAATGAAGGAACAGAACAAAACTCTAGAAAAAGAACTAAACAAAGTGGAGACAAGATACAGAGTTTAAAACACTGGCTATAAGGATACTCAATGAACTTAGGGAAAGATTAGAGGAACTTAGTAAGAACTTCAACAAAGAGATAAGGAACATAAAATGGAGACAGAAAACATAAAAAAAGAACCAGTCAACCCTAGCCAGTTTGGCTCAGTGGATACAGTGTCTGCCTGGGACTGAAGCGTCCCGGGTTCAATTCCGGTCAAGGACATATATCTCAGTTGCAGGCTCGGAGATAACCAAATCATTGTGTCTCTCTCACATTGATGTTTCTCTTTCTCCCCCTCCCTTCCACTCTCTCTAAAAAAAAAAAAAAGAAAAGAAAACCAATGGAAAAAAATCCCCAGGGGAGGATTAAAAAAAAAAAAAAAAACAATGGAAAAATATACTCAGGTGAGGATTAACAAAAAGAAGAATACCATAACTGAAATGAAGAATACATTATAGGAGATCAACAGTAGAACAGATGAAGCAGAGGACCAAATCAGAGATTTGGAGCAAATCAGAGATTTGGAAAACACCCAATCAGAATAGCAAAAAGAAAAAAGAATTTTAAAAAATGAAAGTTTAAGGGAGCCTTTGGACAACCTCAAACGTATCAACATCCAACATTTGTAACATGGAGGTGCTGGAAAGCAAGGACAGAGAGCAAAGAATTGAAAACCTATGTGAAAAAATGACAGAAAACTTCCCTAACCTGGTGAAGGAAATAGACATACAAGTCCAGGAAGTGCAGAGAGTCCCAAACAAGATGAACCCAAAGAGGCCCAAACCAAGACACATCATAATGAAAATGTCAGAGACTCACCCTAGCTGGTTTGGCTCAGTGGATAGAGAGTCTGCCTGTGGACTGAAAACTAGTTCTTCCCTTATGGTGTGTCTATATTACACCGTTTGCTGGTTCTACTAAAATTAATGCAGGGAGAAATAGGTTCCCTCCCACCAACAAACAAAAAAGATAAGAAAGCTTCATCATTTAGGATAAAAGGAGAAGAATGCTAAGAACAAAATTTTGAGAAAACATCAACCTTTAAGTTGTGAGCAGAAAAGGAGGAATAAGCACAAAAGAAAAAGAAAGAAGAGAGAGATGGGAGAACCAGGAAAAACTGGCGACAAATGAATCAATTAACAATGTCTAATGTGGCAGAATGTCAATATTAGTAACAAGCATTTATTTTATTGTTTGTTTTTTTATATATTTTTTATTGATTAAGTTATTACATATGTGTCCTTATTCCCACATTATCCCCCATCCCCCCCACTCATGCCCTCACCCGCCTGTTGTCTGTGTCCATTGGTTAGGCCTATATGCTTGCATATAAGTCCTTTGGTTGATCTCTCCCCCTTACCCCCACCCTCTCCTACCTTTCCTCTGAGGTTTGACAGTCTGATGCATTTATTTTACATTTTAAAAAGTGCTTTCTATTTATAGTGAAGTAAAAGATTTTCACATTAATCTTTATAAGTAGAATGAGAACCAAAAGAGGCCATTAAATTTGGCAACTAAAGGGATTCTAGTGGCCTTATCAATTCCAAAATAAATAGGACCATAGGAACGAAAAATAGGTTGGGTGAGTTGAGAGAGGCTTAAGAGTATGATTTGAGTCATCAAGAAGCTCCTATTCCTAAGCATTTAGATATTAAAAAGGAGATCCCTTGAGGGAGGAAGAGGCAGAGAGAGATAGAAACATCAATGATGAGAGAGAATCATTGACCGGCTGCCTCCTGCACGCCCCACAATGGGGATCAAGCCTGCAACCTGGGCATGTGCCCTGACTGGGAATCCAACCATGACCTCCTTCCTGGTTCATAGATCGATGCTAACCACTGAGCACACTGGCCAGGCTTTTATTGATTAATTTTAGAGAGAGAGGAAGGGAGAGAGGGAGAGAGAGAGAAACATTAATTTGCTGTTTCACTTATTTATAAATTAATTGGTTAATTTTTGTTTGTTTGTTAATTCTTTTTTTTCTTTTTTCTTTTTTAATATATTTTATTGTTTTTTTTACAGAGAGGAAGGGAGAGGGGTAGAGAGTTAGAAACATCAATGAGAGAGAAACATCGATCAGCTGCCTTCTGCACACCCCCTACTGGGGATATGCCCACAACCAAGGTACATGCCCTTGACAGGAATCGAACCTGGGACCTTTCAGTCCGCAGGCCGACGCTCTATCCACTGAGCCAAACTGGTTAGGGCTGTTAATTCTTATATGTTCCCTGACTGGGGACTGAACCTGCAAGCCTGGTGTATTGAGATGATGCTCTAACCAACTAAGCTACCCGGCTAGGGTAGCAGGAACAAA